AATATCTTGCCCTTGAACTTTGTGCCATCAAAATATGTGTAATAGATCGCTATGGACACTTGAAATCAATTTGTTAGTAATAAACACATTTTGTTTGTGATAATCAAAACGAGAAGTCAACCATAGGTCAACAAAAAATATTTTACCTACTCAATTATTTATAACAAATCGAATCGGATTTGTCTATATCCATATTTGATCCATTTAGTTAACGGATTATCGGATTCGGATCTTGATCGGGTTATCGGACTAAGATCCTAAATTCATCTTCCATTAATTTCGTCGGATTTAGATCGGATTCGGATCAAAATCCGATCCATTGACAGCCCTAATCGTGGATCTCACTCCACTCACATTATGTCAACCTTTATGTGTGCACATATGTATACATATATTAATCCTTCTTAAAATTACTCGAATGAATCAAAAAATGGATTTTTGACCTCGAAAACACTTTTCAAAACCAAGCGGCTCAGTCATATTCCAAGTTCAAACGGGGAAGAGCGGCCTAAGTATTCATTCTCGGTGTTACACTAAAAACTGGAAAATATTCATCACTCCCTCGGCGCCAATTTATCTCGCGTTGCTGTGATTTCTACTCAACTTCTTCATCACCAAACTTGGAAGGTAGTAGTATCGGATTTTCTTAGTGTTAAAACGGGCTTTATGTGTTGAAATCGACTCCATTTGTTTGTTGAGAATGATTTAATTGGAAATCAACTCCTTATAATTTATTTTATTTTTCCAGAATTGTTGTTTCTTGATGGTAATCTTCCTCTACCAACGGTGATTTTTTCAACAATATTTCTCTTGAATTTTTGATGCGGTTGTTTATGGTTTTCCCTTGCCTTAAAACTGGTTGCCCCTCAAGTGTAATAGGTGAAATACGCTGGACCAAAATCCAGTGTGGGCAGTTGCCACCACTAGACCCCAGGTGGCTCTGCCCCTGTCCAAACCTATGAACCACAGTTAAATGCAATTTTTATTTTCTTAACTTCTTGTGTAATGTGTATAATATGTAGGTTAATGTACAAATCTGGGCTTAAATAGATATTCTTGAGTAACCAATTGCTCCTTTTCAATTTACTTGTACGAGTAAAACCTCAAGTTCCAATTTTTATTAGTGAAGGTTAGAAATAAGTTATATTTTGAGTTTTGAAAAGTAACTTTTGTAATTAAAATTACAAAAATTCAAGGGATAAAAATTTACTTAAGTGTCACATGCTCAAATCCATTATATTGCCCTATTTCAAGATTCTATTTTTTCTTATCTATGTGATGAGTAGTTTTAATGCTAATTACCTCATTCTCATTTTTAATTCACCTGTTTATCTCTTTCTCTGTTTTGATTAGTGTGTATTTGTTTTTACTGTTTTAAGGATAATTAAGAATGCTCCGAAAGTCGAAGCATTTCTATTCTATTTGGCAACTGAGAACTCCATTGCGTTTGAGTACTTTTAGACAAGATTATTTTAACAATAGTGGAGTCAATGATTTTTTGTTCAATGGATTTTGCACAACGGCTGAGACAATTAGAGGCGATGGCTCATACTTTATTTCAGAGTCAGCTGCACTTCCAGATTGGGTTAAGTTTTTTGATGAGGACACAGTTGTTAGCAAATCGCAGGATGATGACTTTGTGCCTCCTTCAATATCATATTGGATCAAGAATCCAGAAGTTCGTGATCAAGAAACTGATATAAAAAGCATAGTAAATGATATAGTTGAGAGTGATGTTGATAAGATCAGTAAGGTTCTAAAGAACCAGTTTAAATCCCCTGATGAGGTTATGGAGAAATTAAATTGCTGTGATTATAACATATCTGAGGGATTGATTGAGCAACTAATGACGAGATTCAGCTTTGAGTGGATACCAGCTTATGGGTTATTTAAGTGGGCTGAATTTCGGGGAGGAATGACACATTCGCCAGATTTGTATAACTTGATGGTTGACAACATGGGAAAAACTAAGAAGTTTAATCTCATGTGGGAATTAGTGGGTGAAATGAACAAACTGGAAGGTTACGTTACATTGGATACAATTACTAAAGTCATGAGACGGCTTGCGAAGGCTGGTAAGCATGAGGATGCGATAGAGGCGTTTAGAAAAATGGAACTATTTGGAGTAGACAGAGACATAACTGCAATGAATTTATTGATCGATTCCCTGGTCAAGCAAGGAAGTGTTGAGCATGCAGAAAACGTCCTTTTGGAGTTTAAGGATCATATAAGTCCGACTTTGCGGACTTGGAATGTGTTAGTGCATGGTTGGTGCAAAGCTAGGCAGATTAGTAAAGCTAAGAAGACCATTGATGTGATGAAAACACAAGGATTTTCCCCTGATGTGATTACTTACACTAATTTCATTGAAGCCTATTGTCGTGAAAAAGATTTTCGCACAGTTGATGCTACTTTAGAGGAAATGCAGAAGAATGGGTGTCGTCCAAGTGTAGTGACATACACCATCATAATGAATGCTTTGGGTAAGGCGAAGGAAATAAACAAAGCCTTGGAGATTTATGAGAAGATGAAGCAGCAACGTTGTTCTCCAGATGCTTCGTTTTATAGTTGCTTTATTATTGCTCTAAGCAAAGCTGGAAGGCTAAAGGATTCATACGATGTATTTAAGGATATGTCAAAGCAGGGCGTTGCTCCAGATGTGTTGACCTATAACACTCTAATCACTATTGCGTCCCAGCACTTGCACGAAGAGAGAGCTCTAAAGTTGCTTAAAATAATGGAAGACAATCGGTGCAAGCCAGATCTTAATACGTATGCACCTCTACTGAAAATGTGCTGTAGACTGAAAAGAATGAAGATACTTTCCTTTCTATTGAGCCACATGTTCAAGAACGATGTCAGCATTGATCTTGGTACGTATTCTCTTTTGGTTCGTGGACTAAGTAGGAATGGGAAGCTAGAACATGCTTGCTCCTATTTTGAGGAATCAGTTCTGAAAGGATTTGTTCCAATGGATTGCATGTATAAAAATCTGGTGGAAGAACTCGAGAAGAGGGGCATGCTTAAGGAGAAGGCACGAATTGAAGAATTGATGTTACAAGCTAAACGGCAAGGATATGGTGATGACAATTCATCAATAAGCTTGTAGTCTCTTCAGGGTGAGTCTCTTCACCCTTGATTGTTCATTAATGTACAATAATTTTTAACATTTGAAACTTGTCTGACTAGATGGATGATAACTGTTATTTTTAAAGTAACTGACTTTTGAGATCCGTATTGACGGTGTTAATGACAGTAAGCTCCATGGCCACTGCAATTCCATCAGGTGAAGTTTCACATATAGTAATTATGTGCCATATTTTCTTTTGCTTTTTGTTTATTATGGGAATCTTGGAATGTTTTCGTGATTTATGAGGATTGGTTACAGCTGATACACTTGTAATTGTGAATTGGAACGGTTTTATCTAGGTGGCTAGAAGTGATACCACTAGCGACTTATATGATCGATTCACGTGATGTATTTATAATAAGACATTTATTAAAGCCGATTTAGTATAAGGGATTACTTCATCGATAGGCTTGGGCAAGAGACGTTTTGCTGAAGTCCAAATACCCCCCTAGTCTTTTACTTATTTAGCGTTTTCTTTCCTTTTTATGGTAATAAGCACAAATTGTTCTTATCGTTTGTCACCTTTGTGATAATTGTCTTTTATCTTTTCAACTTGGCATTTGCACCCTCAATCATACGTTACGTAAAACGTTTTTATCGTTTAATTTTGTCCATTTCTTTCGTCAAATAGGTGCGTACACTTTAGTAAGAGTATTTTGATCCAATCATTGTATTGAGTCCTTCCTTTAAATATAATAATATTATATGTATGTATGGAAAGAGAGTCGAGGGTAGAAGAAAGTTTTGTTAAGGTGGGAAAGTGGAAAGAGAGTCGAGGGTAGAATTGACAATGCAAGGTGGGTTGGGACGGTGGTTTGAAGCTCAGCTCAGTAATTTGATGCACACAAAGAGTGGGATGTCGTCATCTGGTCAAACTCAAGAGCCCGATAAAATATTGAAGTAGTTTGATACACTCAAAAATTATGAAAAAAATTTATTTATTTTGTGACAACGACATTTTGGGTGAAATCGTATGTCGAAGAGTGCGATCTCGTTTCCTTTCTAATACACGTGACAGTGTTTCAAATTTAATGGTATTAATTAGGTCACCTTGGTTTCCCTTTGCAATTTTCAACAATTTGGAAGTTGCATGTGCCGTATGTAGAGATTGGGTGCAGCAATATATCTGAGAGTACCTTTTTGAAAATACTAACAGCAAAAAGAATGGCCAAAAAAAAAAAAAAGTCAAAAAAGGTAAATGCAACAAATGATCTCCAACAGAATTATGTTAAGCAATTTTAACAAAAATCAATATCTGTCATCGATTCAGATAGAATATATGATAATATTTTCACAAGTCATTGCACCCTAACGGTTCTTGATTTTTGAACTAGCAGGTATTTGACTCTGAAATCGAATATATAATTTTTACATATTCTTTTATGTTTACCTTCTATCACCCGATTCAATCAATCGATCCAATAAGTAACAAGTTCGTAAGATGTAAGTAACTAGCCTAAACAATCAGATTCGTTCATTTAAATAATTAGATCATATCACTCTAGTTCGTAGTCAAGTTGATCTCAGTTTTTACGCTATCAGTCCCAAAACCCTTCTTAAGGCACAACACAGAGTCACAACCGAAATTGAATGCTATTATGTTAGATATTTGATGCTACTTGATGACATATTTGCAGTAAATTAAGAAAATTTTGAAATAGATATTTGAAGACATATTTTATTCTTTCTATTTCTGATAAATATTTGAAAAAATAAGTTGAATGTTACTTTACGGCTTTTTTTTTAAATATTAAAACAAACTCGTACCAAAACCTACATTTTTGAGTTTAGGTTCGATAATAGTAAATATAAGGATTCAAATGAATCTATTTATGAAATATTCGAACTATAATGAATGGTTCAATGTATTAAAATATCTAAAATCGAAGTCTTGAACTAATCATAGTGTACTATCCAGATATTGTTAATTTAATTTGCTAAATACTCGTTTTTTTTTTTTAAAAATCAGTTCTCTCTTATTATTATTTATTTATTTATTTTGGCTTTTTACAATTTTCTTCAGATCCTTTAAAATGTAAACCCTCCAAAGCCATAACCAAAACCTTGCATTTCCATAAACTAGCATATCTTTACAACTCTCTTTTCTTCCTCAATTTCTAGGGTTTTCACAATTCACACGCCAAAAAAAGAAAAAAATTGCAACACAAAAATGTCCACTTTTATGTATTCACTTGGCCTCAATTCAATTTTATCTCCATTTCCAGACAGAACCAGAACTCTGGATCCAGTTTTGCACAGAACCCACTTTTGTAATTTCCCAATTAATAGACCCTTTTTGAGGGGGAGTCTTGGGGTGACACGATTTGGATTGGGTCAGTCTCAGTTTCCTGACCCGGTTGCTGCTGGGGACGTAATTAAGGACCTGTTTGTGAGAGTTGAGGGATTCCTTTCTACTGTTGCTGATGTCGCAGTTTCGGGTTCTTCAGATACAGTTAATACTGTTACTACTACGCAGAATAATGATTGGCTTTCTGGGATTACCAATGGCATGGAGACAGTTTTGAAGGTCTGTATAAGTTTTGATTGTTATTACGTATCGAAAAAGGAAAGGAGAAATGGAAAGTTGTTTATTTTATTAATTTTTTATTCGTTCCTTTATATTTGAATAGTGGAATTGATGGTTTTGAGGATGAAAACAACTGGTGAGAATTATGGTGAAAATTAGTTTTAAATCTAAACTTCAAATAGAAGATGGATATTTGTGCAAGTTTCGATTTAATTGATACTTGTGTTGTTTGAACTTCTGTTCATTATCTTTAGTGACCTGTAATCTGATAATATGAGAAATATGTGTGTGCACACATGTATTGCTATGAATTGTAGAATGATTGAGAGAACATAGCTAAGTATACTACAATTTTAAAACTAGAATTAAACTTCTTTGGTAAAAGGAAATTTCTATGTCTGAAAAGAAAACTCGGAAGTTCAACATTTTGCATTATATGAGAAAAAAACATTGATGTTTAATAGCTGCATATATCTAGGGTTACTAATATCTAAATTATCATAGTGAGCTTACCAATGATTGCTCTGTTACTTAGTGGTAGAGTATTCTAATCTGCAGTTACATCAGGGTTATACTTATAACAACACATTCTGAAGCAGAAAATGGAAAAAAAAACCTATACAAGAAAGTGTTGAGATATAGCTTAACATTTTCTCTAAAAGAAATAATAAAGTTATAAAAGCACAAGATATGAAGTAGTGAGAAACGATCAGCTGGTAAGAACAAATTAACATCAAACACCTTTTTAAGTACGCCGTTTATTGGAAACAAATATTTCCTCAATAAACACTTGATTGAAATACCGGAGACTTCGTATATTCATTGAAGCTTCAACAATTTAAAGTCAAGACTGACAAATTTAATTGTTTCATTCTGTTATTCACTAAAATATTTCAATAAAAAAATAAACTACTTAACTCTAGCCAGCAAGATAGTTGGACCTGCTGACTTAAAATTAAGTAAACCAAGTGAGAAGAATTTACTGAAAATGATTGTGAAAATGATTGTTGGAATGATGGAGGTGTAGTGCAGCCTGCTCATTCACTCACTAGGGAGCATGTCCATCATGGCCAATCAGTATTAAAGATTTTTCTCTTTTGATTTTTGATATGGTGTTGCCCTAGTTGTCATTTTTTGTACTCTCTACAACTTAGACTAGATGTAGAAATCCTATTCACCGAACTCAGGTGTATTAAGTGATTAACTTGATAATGGGAGAGATGAATCCTGGGGCAGTGTTGGGGGTGGAAAGGGTGGCTTAAAGACATAACAGGCCTCGAGTGGCCAAATTGGAGATACTGGCAGAGCCGCGGAGATATACAGTTAAACGCTTTATATCTAAAGGGGTCTCTGATGGAGATCCTAATAAATGTAATAATATGGTTTTACTAAGTTTAAATTAGTTTGTTTTAGTTTATTGTAATTTTCTAGTTTCACTTAAATTATGTTTTATTTGCATAATTAGTTTCCTACTTAGATTAGGTTAGTTTAAACTCTATATAAAGAGGGTGTATGCATTGTAATTGTTAGACTTGATTACTGACTAAACTCATAGTTTGAAAAAACGTAAATGGGTACAGAGGCCTTTTTTTTGTTATGAGGCGAGGCGTAAGCTTCATCACAAACAAAACAAATGCAATTTGTCGAACAAAATAAGTGCAATCTAGCGACGATGCATTGGACAAGAAAAAAGCCCAGCAAAGTCTAGTAAAACAATTTTAAATTATAAGTCACTAGAAGAAGGCAGAAGTAAAGGAGAAAAGAGACATAGAAGCAGTACTTGAGGACCTCTTTTAAGCGAAAGATTGAAGATAAGTTTTCTAACTACCGTTTAGTTTTGGGAAGATTTCTGACTACCGTGTAGTTCTGGCCATCTAGGAAATCTAAATTATCATAGTGAGCTTACCTATGATTGCTCTGTTACTTAGTGGTAGAGTATTCTAATCTGCAGTTACATCAGGGTTATATTTATAACAACACATTCTGAAGCAGAAAATGGAAAATAAAACCTATACAAGAAAGTGTTGAGATTATAGCTTAACATTTTCTCTAAAAGAAATAATAAAGTTATAAAAGCACAAGATATGAAGTAGTGAGAAACGATCAGCTGGTAAGAACAAATTAACATCATACACCTTTTTAAGTACGCCGTTTATTGGAAACAAATATTTCCTCAATAAACACTTGATTGAAATGCCGGAGACTTCGTATATTCATTGAAGCTTCAACAATTTAAAGTCAGACTGACAAATTTAATTGTTTCATTCTGTTATTCTCTAAAATATTTCAATAAAAAAATAAGCTACTGAACTCTAGCCAGCAAGATAGTTTGACCTGCTGACTTAAAATTAAGTAAACCAAGTGAGAAGAATTTAATGAAAATGATTGTGAAAATGATTGTTGGAATGATGGAGGTGTAGTGCAGCCTGCTCATTCACTCACTGCAATATAG